CCGCAGCGGCTGCACTTGTAGGTCCGGCGGGCGCCCGAGGCGGACGCATCGCGTGGAGGGACGCGGCAGCCGCAGCTCTTCTTCGGGCGGCCGCAGGCGCTGCACTCGTACACTTTGCGCTTGCTGGCCGCTTCTTGCCCATCCTCCCCCGCCGCCGCCGCCGCGACCCCAGCCTCAGCGCAGTCGTCGGCCTCGTCGATGTCGATCGCGTCGACAGCAAAGGAGGAGGACGCGGCGGGCCCGGAGGACGCGGTGGCCGAGTCGTCGCCCACCTGATCGCAGCCGCCCGCCGCGCCGCTGTCGGCGAGCTCCGGGGCAACTGCCTCAGCAGCAGCGAACCCCATCGTCGACGACGACGAAGCGCCCACACCCGCCCCCGCGTCGACCTCCATTTCGGCGGACCAGGCGACATCCGTGGACCCCGGAAGGCCTGCGGACAGCGCCTCCCACTCGGCCCAGTCGGGCTCGCCGCGGTCCGACATGGCACAGAGAAGGCCCTGTGCAGTTTGGTGCAGGGGGAGATGGCGCTCACTTCTGGCCTCTTGCGAACACGCTGGTAAATCGGGCTGAATTTTGCCGAATTTTAATTTCTGACCATGCGGAGAGAGAGAGAGAGAGAGAGAGATGCGGCTCCAAGTGCTGTCCAGAGAGAGCGTTCCCGTGCCTCGACAATTGCCGCTGGTAGGCGCGCCGCGCCGAACCATGGCGGGCGCGCCGCGGCCGCGCGCAACCTTCGTCACAATGCCAACCGCGCGCGGCCGTCGACCAGCAAGCACACGCCTCGACTCGGACACAGTGTTCCGAGGGCAAGGGAGAGAGATTTTAGAAAACCAACCAGAAATCACGACTCCGAGTCTGTGTGAGCTCTGTGTCTTGGTTTGCCAACAACATACCTAAAACTCCGAGTATGACAGAGAAGGAGACCTGGCTGGCAGCCGCCTCCCCCCCCGGTGGTGCTAAGGCAGGAGCCGAAAGATGGCGCGGCAATCGCTGTTGTGTCCTGGCGAAGAATTCCAGAACCATGTACCCTAACCGCCTCGGAGCCCGAACCCTCGTTGTGTTCGTCGCATAAAAAGTCCGGTCCATGTCCTCGCTTGCTAGACACGTCGCTCGTCGCGGCTTGCAGCTGCCGCTGGCACCTCCGCCGTTGCCGCTGCCGCTGCCGCCGCTGCTGCTGCTGCTTTTGCCGCCCGCCGGTGCGATCGACATTGTCGCCTCTCGCGTCCGCACGGTCGAAGAGGACCAGCACAAGCTCAAGCACTTCTGGCGCCTCGGTGAGGGGTTCGAAGGCGTGCCAGCGCCACCTCCGGCGGCCAGCCTCGCCGCCGCGGCGGCTAACGGCCCGCCCGCTCCGCGAGCAGGCTCGGCGAGCGACTACGTGGAGTACGTTGTCTGGCTTCTCGGCGTGATCGGTGTGCTGTACTTTCTCGCAAACCCGGTGCCGCCCAGAGCCGCCTCCGGCCCAGCGCCCAGCAGACGACAAGCACTCACCTCCCGCGGCACGTGCGCAGAACGCGCGCCGGAACTGGCACGTCGACGAGCGCGACGAGGCGTGGAACGACGACGCGGGCGGCGAGGGCGACGGCGAGGAGGGCTTGGCAGAAGCGTGGCAGCCGGACTCTGCTGGCGACGACGCCGCCGCGCGGCGAGAATCATCCAGCCAGGCCACGTTCAGGCGTCGGGGCGGGCGGGCAGGGCAACTCGACGAGTGATCCTTCCACCACGCGTGCGAAGCGCGACACGCAGGCGTTTGCACTTTTCAGTTTTCTCTCCCACCTCCATTGGGTGTCAATTGCTAGACGGCGGAGCGCCTGTGTTACGAGTCCGTGGTGGGTATACCCGTCAGAGACCGCGCGGGCCGCGGCTCGCTCACCTGCAGACTCACGACTCACCTCCACCGGCTCCACGCTCCACCCAGTGGAGCGGGCGCGCGCCTAGCCCTTCTTCCACCCGTTCTCTCCGGGCCTGTCCACCCGGATCACCTTGACGTTGAAGAGGAGCGTCTTGTCGATGAGGTCCTTGTTGTACAGCACAAAGTTGAGCGCGCGTTGGCCCGAGAAGGTGCTAGGGACAGGACCCACCCGCTCGTGGTCCTTGTCATCGTCTGGGTAGCTGAGGCCGGGCCGGTAGGGGACCACCACCTGCCACACTCCACCCTCGCTCATCCCCGCAACGGCCTCCTCGAGCGCGGGCAGGACAGCGCCCTTTCCGAGCTCAAAGCGGAGGTAGGCCTTGTCCTTGCCGTCTAGCTCGACCAGCTTCTTCGTCTCGAACGGCCGACCAAAGTAGCCGATCGTGTAGCCGCTCCAGTCCACCACGACGCGGTCGCCGGCGACGGGCGACTTTCCGTTGCCGGGCTTCGCCTCCTTGAACGCCATGCCGCTCGGCCGCTTTGTGAAGTCGTCGTACGACATCTCGCTCTTGCCGTAGTCCTTGCCCGCCAGCCCAGGCTGAAAGGCCTTGTCGCCGGCAATCTGCCCCTGGTCGCCCGACGAGACGCCTCCGACGGCGATGGCTGGCAGCGGCCGCCAGGTCGCCGCAGGCAGCAGCGCCGGCAGGAGCTGGAGGATCTGCGAGCGGGGCAGGTTTGATCTGAGGACCATCAACTACGGCACGCCGGAAGCTGGATTCGAGCTGTTTGGGGGGAAGGGCAGGGCCGGAACACACCTCAAGGTTCCAGCCCAGCGAAACCTCGAGAGCGAAACTTGCGCGTGACATTCGGCGCCTACCGAGCCTCGACCCGCGCCCGAGATGTTTTCGTCCTTCTCGCCGTCGGCGGAGACGCACCGCCTGGTCATCCAACACCATCTCAACCTCACCATCAGGCCCGTGGAGCACACGGCCTCCTCTCGTCGCTTCGCCGACTGCTCGGCCGGCGTTGTGCACCCGACCCATCATGTCTGCTGCAACGCTACTTGCGGGCTGTGCGGCGGACACGGCTGCTCCAGTCGCCCTGGCGGGCCACGCCAGTGCTGCATGCCCGCTATTTTGCGTACGGGTCGGGTCTGCGAATCACAGGCGGACGTGGCTTGCATCCTGCGGGGCAGCAGGCAAGAATTGCACGATCACAATCTGTCGAGCCAGCCGCTCCGCCCTCACGTTGAGCCACCGCCTCCTGGCAGTCGAGGCTGCCTTCCCCACTACCTGTAGTTCACTCGTCACCTCCCCCGCGAGCTCCCTTCTCTTTCTTTCGGGTATGGGGTCCGTGAGTGCCGAAAGAAAGAAAGAAAGAAAACAGACACGCCAAACGAGGGATGGGACGAGGACAGGGTCCCCACCTGCACGAGCAGGATTTTGGAAGACGGGCTCTCCTGCTCCTGACAAGGGACACGACAGGCTCGCAGCGCGGTGCGCGGTGGACTCCCACATCCACTAGTGCCGCCTTGTTTTTAAAAAACGACTTTTTTTTCTTTTTTAACACGCCTGCGCCTGGGACCTCGAGAACCTGCGCCGAATCCGACCACGGGGCGCGCGGCCCGCGCGGGACAACGCCCGGCTGTGTGTACTGGGTGTAGATTATTACTCACATATGCTGCTCCTCCTCGCCGCGCCAGCGGTCGCGCGCGCCGTCGTGGGGCCGCCGGCCGTCGCGCCGCGCGTGCCTCTCTCCCGCCGCAGCTCGCGGCCGGCCCTCGTCCTCGAGGAGCCGCCGCTGCAGGACGCAGCTTGGGCGCCTCCGTCGCCCTCGCCGCGGCCGGAGCTGTGGCAGGCCCTCGTGGCGCTGAACGGCTGCACGCTCCTCTGGGGCTCGCAGCACGCCGTCATCAAAGACGTCGTCTCGGACGTGTCTCCCGCAGCCTTCAACGCGGCGCGCTTCGGTCTCGCGGCGGTCTGCGCGCTTCCGTGGGCGCCGGGCGCGCCGTGGCGGCCGCGGCGGCCGCCGGCCGCGGATGCTCCGCCGGCGTCGGCCACGTGGGCCGCCGGCGCCGAGCTCGGCCTGTGGTCGTGCCTCGGCTTTGCGCTGCAGTCGGTTGGCCTAGAGACGACGAGCGCCGGTCGGTCTGCGTTTCTGCTGTACCTGAACGTGAAGCTGGTGCCGCTGCTCGCGCTCCTGCTCTACGGCCGCACCTCGCCACCCCGCACGTGGGTCTCCGCACTCCTCGCCGTCTGCGGCACCGGCCTGCTCGCCTCCGACGGCTCTCCGCCCAACGTCGGGGACGCGTGGTCGCTCGCTGCTGCGGTCGCGTCCGCATGCTTCATTCTCCGCCTCGAGGCGGCGGCCGCAGGCGCAGCGCCGCCCGAGCCGGCGGAGCTGAATGCGGCGACGCTGACTTGCGCGGCGGGATACTTTGCGCTCCTGGCGGCCGCAGAGGTGGGCGGTGCCGGGGGAGCGGCGCCGGTGCCGCTGATGGAGGCTGCGCGGGCGCTGGGGGAGAGCTCGCCGCAGATCTGCTACCTCGCCGTCGTGACCACGTTCGTGGCGCAGTGGCTGCAGGCGTACGGCCAGGCGCGGGTGGGCGCGCAGGACGCGGCGCTGCTCTACGCCCTCGACCCTTGCTACGCGGCGGGCTTCAGCTACTTGCTGCTCGGCGAGACGCTTGGGCCGCAGGGCTTCGCGGGCGCTGCGGTCGTGCTTGCGGCAGTGGCGATCAGCCGCGGGGGAGGGGGTGCCGGCGAGGGCGGCGGCGAGAGGAGAGAGGACGAGGGTGCGAGGACCTCGAGAGCCGAGTGATGCAATCCCCGCACCGAAAACCTACATCGGAGCACGCGGCGAAATTCCCTTGGAGTTGGAGCACTTGGAGTGCAGTTACATGTGTAAAATAAAGAAAGAAAGAAAACAGACAACCCAAAAAAGGACCCAGCTCCCAGGGCCGAGCGTTTTTGATCTCTGGGTCAGTGGGGGGCCGAGCCGCCTCGGGGTGGCGGGCGGGCGGGCGTTTTGAAAAACAGAAAACAGAAAACAGAGGGGGGCCAGGCCCCCCCACTACGAACGAAAATTAGACACACGCACACGCACCCACACCTGCTGGCTGTCTGTGGCTCCTCCTCCTGCGTCCTGGGACAAGGGGCGAGCATCGCGCAGCATGCAGTTCAGCGGAGATGGGAGAAGACTGAGAGGGGGGGGGGGGGGGGGCGACGTCCCGACACGGCAGCTTGGAGCTGACCCCAGGAGAGAGAACGAGAACAGCGATGGCGCCCCCATATACATGACCGTAGACAGAAATGACGAGCCGACAGCGATGCAGCGGCAGCGAAGGCGGCGAGAAGGGCCCGGACCGCCGGGCGGCAGCAGAGACATCGGCGGACGGGGGAGCACACGGGACACGTCGGCCTTAGAGCCGACTGTTGGCCTGGCCTGCATCATGAATGGGCCTGATAGCGACCCGACGGCGGCGACGTAGGCGAGACGGCGGCGAGGGCGACGGTCACGATGAAGCTGGCTTGCGAAATGGATGACGCCATCGCGCAACAATGGACATCCTCGATGGGCACTCACGACCCGCACGAGGTAGGCGGCGCGCAGCGCCGCTCTCGCAGGCTGTTTTTGACGGTTCTACATTTTGTTTTTGTTTTCAGTCTAGGGGGGCCGACCCCCTCAGAGGCGGCGGGCGGGCGCCCACTGACCCAGAGATCAAAAACGCTCCGCCCAGTGCCGTCCCAGGGTCCACAACACCTCTCACCTGCCCGGGCGTGTGCGGGGCTGCGGGCGTGGCACGAGCAGGATTTTGGAAGGACGATCAGGGGGACAGGTGGGCTCTCCTGCTCCTGACAAGGGACACGACAGGCTCGCAGCGCGGTGCACGGTGGAATCCCAACTCCACTGGCGGTCTCATCTCAGTCTTACTAGCGACCTCTTCCTCCGGCTGCTCACCGGCAGTCTCTCACTTGAGCACTTGAGCACGACTGGATAGGGTCGATTCCGCATGGTACGGGACCCCTCGATCGTCTCGCCCACCCTCACTGGTGTGTTCATGGGGGGGGAGTCATAACAAACACGGTACAGGATCGAGGTGCACGCTGCAGATTGAAGCAGTGTCGTCCCCCCTCCTCCCCGACGGCGATGGCGGTGTGACCGATCGAGCTACACCCGACGGTCGCACACCGACTGTAACCCCGAGGCAAGGGCGTATGCACATCTAGCAGGCCCGCGCCACGATGGTGGAACAGACTGGCACGCACATGTTCCACAGTGGTGGCCCACCGTGTTGTGCACACTGCCCCCACACGTTGGGAAACCACTTCCTACTTATGAGTATGTTATGTGGGCCCGGCTTTCCCGGGAGCTAGCTCATGTCTCAAGCATCCGACCGATAGACAAGCCTGTCTTTGCCAACAATATACCTAAGCCTGTCTATGTCGGGTTAGGCTGAGGTTTTCCTCTCGCACCCCGTCTCTTTTCCTTTCCTTTTTTTCTCTGCAGCACCCTCTCTTTTCCTCTCTATTTTCCCGGGAAAAGCATCAAATTTTCCGGGCTCTGAGCCGAGTCTGAGGCTGGTTTGGGCCCAAAATCAGCCAAATCGGCAAAATACCGGTTATTTTGCGGGTATACCTGGAAAACCCCGGGTATACCTGGAAAATATCCTGCGACCGCCTGGGTATCGTGCCGATTTCCTCAATTTTGCGTCAGATTTTGCCCCAGACCAGCTCTCAGACACAGACTCAGGGAAACTCGCGAGTTTCCAGAATGGAGCACCAAACACCCTCTGTTTTCCCTGGAAATTTCCGGAAACGCAAACGACGGCGACGGTGGCAGCGGCGGCGGCGGCGGCGGCGGCGGCGGCGGCGGCGGCGGCGTAACAGAATAATACGGATTCTGACATCCGCTGTATAGTGTATTATGTATTGTGCAACCCTGGCATGCATGTGTGTGTGTGTGTGTGTGTGTGTGTGTGTGTGTGTGTGTGTGTGTGTGTGTGTGTGCGTGTGTGTGTGTGTGTGTGTGTGTGTGTGTGTGTGTGTGTGTGTGTGCGTGTGCGTGTGCGTGCGTGTGCGAGCCGCCCTGAACGCCACGAGCGCGGACGCATGATTTTTTTCTTTTTTTTGCTGAGCCACCATGGTGGCGGCGAGCTTCAGCGACGAGGGCGGCGGCGTGGTGCTCTGCACCGCGTCCAACCTGGCGGAGCGCGAGGTGTACGAGCGTTTCAAGCAGGAGCAGGGCGAGGCGATCCAAGCGCTTGCCGACGACGCGAAGCTGCTCTTCCGGGTGACGGTGGACGACAACACGCCGCTCAAGCCCGGACAGAGCCACGCGCTTGTGTACGCGGGCGTGGCGCACACGGCGCGGCTGTCGCGGCTGCTAGAGGTCTTCAACGCACGCTACTGCAAGGGCGAGGGGCAGGAGGGCGCTTTCCTGCTGAGCAGCGGATACGCGATCAAGCCAAACGCGTCGTGCGGCAGCGTCTTTATGCGGCACGGCGATAGCGTCACCTTCCACTCCGTCGTCGACTTTACGCGCCTGGCGTACGCGTCATGACAACCGCCTGCTGTTGGCGTAAACTCCGAGACTATGTGTGCCTGTGTGACTGTTGCGCGTCCGTGCACGGTGAGTCCTCTCCCTCTCGCGTCTCTCGGTGTCGGACTCTCTCGATCCACTTATTTCTGTCTTCATTTTATCCATACCAGGCAACGTACAGGGCCTCTACTCCAGTCGACCTGCCCTCCCTTGCGCCGAGCGCGCTGCCCGACGCTCTCCTCTCACAAAGTCACAGGCTAAGGGGGGCAGCCGCGGGGGAAGAGAGAGGCAGCGGCCAGCGCCAGCGCGCAGCGGCGCGGCGGATCACCCGGCGAAAGCAAAACGGCGGGGAGCGCAGCAGACTGGCGGCGACGGCCGTGCGGCGCGGCGCTCACGCCTCTGCGCCACGGCCGGCGGCGCGCTTCAAGAGCGGATTCAGGAGCTGGCTTTAGCCGACAGGATGAGGCCGACGATGAGTCCGTAGAGGCCGAGCGCTTCGGCGAAGATGAGGATGAGCACCTGCGGTTAATCAATCAACAATCAGCTAATGAACTAATTAACCACTTCGGCGAAGATGAGGATGCACCCGCGAGTAGGAGAGGAGCGGGGGAGGGGGGGGGGGGGGTGCAGCAGCCGGGAGGGGAGAAGGGGAGGGTGTGGGGTAAGGTGTGGGGTGTGGGGTGGGGTGTGGGTGGGGGAAAGGGGGGTTCGGTCCGCTGCAGCCGCTGCTGCTGCTGCTGCCGCCGCGCCATGCCGACAAGAGCTTCGGAGAATCCCTCGGACTCTCGGGGAGAGTCTCTGGTACTCTCGCGCCATGCCGACAAACAGCTTCGGCTGCGCTGCCGACGCCTGAGTCAGCGTCTCCCCTACCGACAACTCGCGGCGCTGAATGCACCCAACTCCACACGACGCTGCGAACGGCGTCGGCAGCCACTGACGCCGCAGCCGCAGCCAAACCTCTCGGCCCTCTCCACTACAGCCTCGCCGACAATGCCGATTGCCATACCAGCAGCCAAACCGCTCAGGCCGCAGGCAAGCCCGCCGCCTACGCGCACAGCCGCCGACCCCGCCTCAGTCCCACCTCTGCGGCGGCTGTGGGAAGAGGCTTGCTGCGGCGGCGGCGCGCGCCAAAGTGTGCAAACGCCTTGAAAGTGGTGTACGAGGGGGCCTATGGGACATGTCTCGGAGATGTCGCGGACGTGTCCTGGACACGTCCCCTCCCTCGCCTTGCAGGGTGTGCGAGGGCGCATGCTCTGCGCCGGTGGTCACCTCGGGTCACCTCGGGTCACCTCGGGTCATCTCGGGTCATCTCGGGTCATCTCGGGTGATCTCGCCTTTTGATCGACGGTGGTCACCTCGTTGGAGATGATGACTGCGATGATGAGGCCGTAGATGCCGAGCACGCCCGCCATTACCACCTGCGGGAGGAACCGGGCGGCCGCCTCGGGCCCGTCTGCGCTGCGCAGCGGGCGAGGTGCCGGCTGCCGCAGCGGGCAAGTGCCGGCTGCCGCTTCCAGGCGCCCTCGCGCGCGGCGGAGCGCCGCGCGCGCAGGCAAATGGCGGAGGGGGAGGGAGGGGGGAGGCGTGCGCGCGCACCGGAACGATGCTCTTCATGATGAGCTCGGGCTGGCCCACGCCTGGCGGCGAGGGCGGCGGCGGGCTGGGAGGGGGAAGGGGGGGGGAGGGGAGCGGAGGAGGGCCGGGGAGAGAAGGTCGAGAGGGCGGCAGCGCTTGAAGGGAGCGGCGGTGAGGGGGGCGGCGGAGACGGAGGCGATGGAGAGGCGCGCGCTGGGGACGGAGGCGGCGGACGGGAACGGCGGCGACGGGGGCGAGGGTTGGGGTGGAGGCGAAGGAGGTGGAGGGCTCGAGGCGGCGAGGGGCGGCGGACAGGGCGGCGGTGAAGAGCCGGGCGGCGGGCTTGGAGGCGGCGGCGAGGGAGGCGGCGGACTTGGAGGAGGCGGGGAGGGGGGCGGCGGCGATGGGCGCGGCGGGGAGAGGCGCGGCGGGGAGGGGTGCGGGCGTGCCGAGCGTCGAGATGCCGATCCCCGACTTGCCGGTGCCATAGGCAGCGCCCATGTTCGAGAAGACCAGGGCGAAGGCGGCGCCCATGAAGCCCCAGAAGGGCGCCTCCAGCTCGATCGGCATCGATTGGGCGAGGGGAGTGGGAGGGCGTGCTTGTTGGGGCGAAGGGGAGCCACAGCTGCGAAATCCGAGAAAAAACAACGAAGGGGCTCTCAAAAAAAGAAAAAATCCGCGCGGCACTTCTCAGCTCACCGGCCCTGGATGTGAGGTTACCGACTGCACTCCAAGTGCTCCAAGTGCACCACTTCCGCCCCCGCCGCCGACGTGGCCGTCACCGCTCCAACCCGCGCGGAGCCTGGGGGACCCGGAACCCGCCCCGTCGGAGGCTGGGGTACCCGGGGGAGGGGTCCGAGGGGGGGGAGGTGCCGCGGGGAGACAGCGGGTCAGCCGGCGGACCGGAAGGCCGGGACCGGAGGGCCCCGGGTGAGGCCTGTCAAGGGAGGGAGGGGAGAATCGAGCTGACTCGGCCTCTGCGAGTGGGAGTCGGGCCGAGCGAGCCCAGCGGGGGTAGACCCGTCGCGGCGGCGGCCGGACCGCCGTGATCCTATACGGCGAGAGAGACCGCGCCTCCCCGAGCCTAGTGAGGAACCGGCGGAGGGGGAGGGCGAGCCGAGAACGATAGAGAGGCCGCGGATGCGGGCGCGACTCGCCGACCAGGGAGATCCGGCCCGACCTCCCCCGGGGAGGGGTGGCGACGAGACACGATGCCGCCGCCCCCCCTCTCTCTCTCTCTCTCTCTCTCTCTCTCTCTCTCTCTCTCTCTCTCTCTCTCTCTCTCTCTCTCGCCGGCGCGACGCGATCCGATCGGCGCCGCCGCCGACGGGGCCGCCGGCACGGAGGAGATTCCGTCGTCGCGGTCGGGGTGTTGGTCGGGACATGGGCGACGCGACCACTGCACTGCTCCAATGGCCAGAGACCCGGTGCGGGGCAGGTGGTCACGCCGCCCCGCCCAGCGTCGCCCGCCGCCGCGCCGCGCCGCCGCGCCGCGCCGCCGCCTCGCCCCGCCCGCCGCCGCGCCGCGCCGCCGCCCGGTGATTATTAATTCATTATTAATTAATTAATAAACAATTATACCACCCGCCGCCGCGCCGCCCCGCACTGCGTGAATCGTGTCGTGCGACCGCCTGATGGCAAAATTCTTTCTTCGCGATGTCAGCCCCGCGCCGCCGCTCGCGCCGCCTCGCCTCCGCCACCACCGCCGCGCCCACGCCAGACGCGCCGCCGCCCGCCCGCCTGCTCGACCTCCCCAGGGAGCTCCTCGAGCGCGTCCTCTCTCGCTGCGACAGCCCCATTGACATCGCTCGCGTCGCCGCCGTCTCGCTGCTCTTTCACGCCTCGCTTGCGGAGGAGGGCATCCGCTTGTGGGCGCAAGAGCGCGGCTTCGAGCTGCCAGCGCAGCCGGAGGACGAGTGCTGCGCCGTGCGCTGGCTGTGCTTTGCCGCGCTCCTGCGCAAGGCCAACACGCCGGCGAGGGCGGCGGCAGGCGCTTACCACAGCGTCTTCATCGACGGCGAGGGGCGGCTCTCGTCGTGTGGGTCAGCGGCAACGGAGGGCGAGGAGGAGGAAGAGGACGACGAGGATGAGTTCCCAGGCCTTCTCGCAGGCCTTCTCGGCCACGGCGAGGGCGTGCTGCGGCTCAACACACCGACCCGCCTCCCGTCAACGCTGGGTGACGAGCGCGCCGTGAGCGTGTCGGTTGGAGGTGGCCACAGCCTCGCCCTCACCGCCGACGGCGCCGCCTGGAGCTGGGGCTTTGGAGGCGATGGCCGGCTGGGCCACGGCGACCTACAGGACCAGTGGCAGCCCAAGAAGATCGAGGCCTTGGCTGGGCGGCGCGTCGTCGCTGTGTCGGCGGGAGGGCAGCACAGCCTCGCCATCACCGCCGACGGCGCTGTCTGGAGCTGGGGCCTTGGAGGCGATGGAATCTGGAGCCGGCTAGGCCACGGCGACGAGCAGCGCCAGCTGCTGCCCAAGAATATCGAGGCCTTGGCTGGCCAGCGCGTCGTTGCCGTGTCGGCTGGAAGCAACCACAACCTCGCCCTCACGGCTGACGGCAGCGTCTGGAGCTGGGGCTGGGGAGGCTTTGGCCAGCTGGGCCACGGCGACTGGCAGAACCAGCTGCTGCCGAAGAAGGTCGAGGCCTTTGCTGGCCCGCGCGTCGTCACTGTGTCGGCTGGAGCCTATCACAACTTCGCCACCACCGCCGATGGCGCTGTCTGGAGCTGGGGCCTTGGAGGCGATGGCTACGGCCGGCTTGGCCACGGCGACCAGCAGAGCCAGCTGCTGCCAAAGAAGGTCGAGGCTTTGTCTGGGCGGCGCGTCGTCGCAGTCTCGGCTGGGGAGCACCACAACCTCGTCATCACCGCCAAAGGCGCCGTTTGGAGCTGGGGTCGGGGAGGCTTCGGCCGGTTGGGCCACGGCGACGAGCAGGAGCAGCTGCAGCCGAAGAAGATCGAGGCCTTGACGGGGCAGCGCGTCGTCGCTGTGTCGGCTGAAGGCTTCCACAGCCTCGCCCTCACCGCCAACGGCGCTCTCTTTGCCTGGGGCGAGGGCGAATACGGCTGCCTAGGCCACGGAGAGGACCTGTCGAACCAGCTGCTGCCCAAGAAGGTCGAGGCATGGGGGCTGAGGCAGTGAGCGAAGGGGGAGCAGAGCAGGTTGTCAATGAGCCTGTCTGGGGGGGGCAATGCCTCGCCGTCCTCGCATGAATCGCTTAGCTCCAAAGGTGTGTCCGTGTGCCTTTTGTGCGCGCCAGTCCACCGCACGACTCATGAGGTAGCTAAGAAAAAGCGCGCATAGTCGGTTGAAATCCGCAAAGCCTCTTTATCACCCGTTTCGCACCGGCCCCGCCGTGTGTGAGGCTGTCCGCGACGTGTGACAGTGACCCGACGACAGGGTGGCGCCGCGGGGGAGGGCCTCTCGAGCTCTGCCGGTGTTGCCCGGTCGCCACTCACGGGCACGCGAGGCGAGGAGGCGTCGCCGAGGGCGTGGACGAGGCGCTCATCGAGGCACGGCGGCAGGCCGTGTCCTCTCGAAGCCGCGGAGGCGCCGCTGCAGGCGGCGGCGGCGAGAGCGAGGTGGGCAGGCAGAGCGGCTGTGCAGGCGGTGAGGGCCATGCGGACTCTGCTGCCGGCTCGCTCGCCTCTCTGCTCGAGGACGCGACGGCCGGGGGCTAGCCGTCGCTGCAGCCGGCGGCACTGCGCCGCTGACGAGCCGCGTCTGTGGACAGCGGCGAGCACCCGCTGCCGGGCGAGGACAGCAGCTCAAGTTTTGGCGTCGATGGCGCGGTCGCCGCAAAGCGTGATCGAGATCGCTTTTGCGGAGGCGGGAGCGACGCGGTGCATGACGACGAGGGGACGGGCCTCGTCTCGGTGGGCGGCGGTGGGTCGCCTGGCGTGTCTCGGCTCGGCGCCGAGGCACACAGCCGCTGCGAGGCAGCGGCGACAAGGCGCGGCGGCGGCACTCCATCGCCGGGCAGTCTCGGGGTGGCGGGGAGGGCCACTCGAGCTCTGCCGGTGGTGCCCGGTCGCCACTCACGGGCACGCGAGGCGAGGAGGCGTCGCCGAGGGCGTGGGCGAGGCGCTCAACGAGGCACGGCGGCAGGTGCCGTGTCCTCTCGAAGCAGCGGAGGCGCCGCTGCAGGCGGCGGCGGCGCGAGAGCGAGGTACCACAATTTCTAGAGACATTTTTAGAGCTCAACGAGGGCGCTCAAGAAGTCAAAACACATATAAATAACACGCAATAATGGACAGTCACAGGGCGCGTACATTGCTATATCCTAAGCCCCAAATTCATGGGTTCATCGGCGGTGCTTGCAGGACGCCAGCCTGAAACTCACCAAATGGGTGCTCGCGTCCATGGCGTAGCCACCACCCTGCCCCCCCTGGTATGCCAGCGCCCGGTCCCTTGCCCTCTCTCGCCCTTGCTCTTCCTCTCCCCCTCCATGCCGCCCCCCCCCGTATCCCTCCCCGTATCCCTCCCCCTCCCCCCCCCTCCTCCTCTCCCCCCCCCTCTCCCTCCCCCCCCTCCCCCCCTCCCCCTCCTCGCAGTAGGGCCCATGCCCCATGACCATGTTCCGGTAGAATGATTCAGTGTTGCCGAAAGCGACAAAAGCGCCCTTCCGACCGTGCTCCCCGCTGCTGCTGAGGGGACAATAAATAAATAAAACGGGCAAACTCTGAGACGAGATGGGATTTAGGGACATGTGTCCCCGCCCTGCACGATCTTGGTGTGAGGGATCTTCAATCCGTGTCCCCTCACCCCTCGTCACAACCCGACACGGAAGAGCGGCGTGAGTTGGGGCTGCGGCTACGGCTGCGGCTATGAGAGGGGCCGGGGTCGCGGGAGAGCCGCTGCGCCGCGTGGACGCGCCTACACCGCTCTTGCTCCGCTCGCCACCTCTCGCAAAGGTCCAAAGGGTTAGCCATAGCCACCACCTCCTCCGGCAAGTCCTTTCGCCGTATCTCGCCGTCCCTCCACGCCTGGAAGAGCTCGTCGTCATAGCTGTATTGCATCACAGCCTGCTGAACTGCGTCGTGTACGACCCCTGCCGTCCTATCCTGCGCCTCAGCGTCGGAAAAGTCGAACTCGGAGTCATACTCGGAAGCAGGCACAGACGGCCGCGGTGATTTGGCAGGCGGCGAGGAGGGGGAGGGGGAGCGCGGCGGTGCGCGCTCGTGGCTCCCGCTGGTGCCAGAACCAAGGGCCAGCGCCCAGCGCGCTCAGCCTGTTCTTGTTCACCTTGGGAGAGGGCCACGCGGCGCGTAGGGCGAGGATGAGGCGTCGAAGCGTGTACTTGTGTCTGGTGTTGTGGCCCTGCTGCGGTATGTTGACAGCAGCGTCGCCATGCTCGTCGTGGGTCTTCCCATTCCGAGTCTTCTTGCCCGCGCCGCCGCGGCCTGGCAGGCCACGTCGAGGGGGAGACCCAGGCGGCGCTGCACCGAAAGACGCATCGCCCAAGTCTCCATTCGCATATCATCCCGCAAGAAAGAATTTTACAACCAACTCCCTCGCACGACACTGGGCACGGGACTGGCGCGCACTGGCACTAGCACAAGAAACAAAGAATGGCACGAAATCGTGATTTTCTTCTTTTGCACGACGACGGGTACGGGGGCGAGGGCATGGAGGGGGAGAGGAAGAGCAAGGGCGAGAGGGGGCAGGGGACGGGTCGATGGCATACTAGGGGGGGAGGGTGGTGGGCGGCGACCGCCGCATACCGTCCTATGGCGGCGAGTATCGCTACGCCAGGGAAGACAAGGACGTCGACGTGCAGCTGCTGCTGTTCGAGTCGTTCGGCGGGTTCGGGAAGGGGGTCGGCGAGATCCTCTGGAAGGCGGCGGACGTGCTGCAGAGCAAACTGACGCGGGCCCAATACCTCGATGAGGTGACTTGGACCACCAAGAGCTGGCTGGGGCTGCAGAAGCAGCGTGTATCTCAGTCGTTCTTCACACGGCCATCGCAGACGCGCCAGTCCCGTGCCCAGTGTCGTGCGAGGGAGTTTTGTTGTAAAATTCTTGCTGGTCGAGCGACCCGGGGGATGCCCCGCGAGCGACCCAGGCGCGAGAAACGAATCTGCGAGGCGTGGCCGCTTATGGGGCCCGATGGGGAGGAGCGGGGCGGACTACGGGGATCGGCTTCTTACGCCGCCCTTCCTTGCACCGATGTATGTATGTAGAAAGATGAACAACAACAGTCAGGCTCGGACTGGACACCAACGCGGTATAGGTAGGTAGGTAGGAAGGTGAAGAACAGCCAGGCTCGGACTGGACACCAACGCGGTATGGGTGGACGCTAGACAGATGATGACGACACGCACGAGCGACACACAGACACAAACAAGCTCACAAGACACACAGCCAGCTGGCTGCCACACACCCTGAGTTGGCGTACACACGGTATGGGTTGCGCAACCCACCCGCGCTACTCGAGTACCGGGTCTCGGGGGCCTCACACAGCCCCGCGCCGACTCGGGAGCTAGGGCCGCCTCGAACTAGCCGCCTCGCGTCACACCAATCCTCGCTACTCAACGCGGCCAAAGCGCGCAGCGCCGCCAGTGCGGGATTTGTGTATATGCGCGACGCCATGACCCCCTCCCCCTCCACCCGTCTCCCACCTCCTCCGACCGACGTCGCGCTCGCCGCGGTGGGCGGCTGCTACGCGGCGCACGCGCTGCTGCTGTGGCGAGCGGACCGGCGTGAGGCGGGCGTCCCGATCATTCTCGCGGCGCTCGAGGCGCAGACCTGCCCCGCGAGCGTGCTCGTGCCGCAGCGGCTGCTGGCGAGCGGGTCGCTGCTCCCGGCGGCGGTGGCGTCGGCGCTCGCGTGGGCACCGCGGGAGGTGGAGGCCGGCGCCGCGAGGGAGAGCCTCCTCGCGGCGCTCGCGGCGCACGCACTCGCGGCGCTGACCGGGCGGGCGGGCCTCATCTCGGAGCAGTGGCCGCGGGCGCGCGCCGCGCACGTGCCGGCGCTAGCGCTGTGCGCCGCCCGCCTCCGCCCGCTCCGGCTGTGGCGCCGGCTGAGGGAGGAGCGGGTCGCGCCGCCGTCGCGCCGCCTCGCGGAGCGGATCGGGCTCGGCGCGGCCGCGGTCGGGCTCGCGCCCGTCGCCCTTCCGGCCGGCCCGCTCGCTCGCGGCTGCTTCGAGTGCGTCGGCGCGTCGGCGGCGCTGCCCGCGCGCGCGCTGCGGGAGGCATGCGCGCCGACGGCGCTCCTCGGCCTCTGCTGCGCGGCGCTGCAGCTGCCAAGGAGTGGGCGGCGGCGCTGGCTGCGGCCGGTGGGAGCCGCCTCCGCGGCGCTCGGCGCGACGAGGGTGTGGGAGCTCGCGGGCGCCAGGGGCGCAGGCCTGCGCAGGCCGGTCCGCGCGGTGGGAATCTGTGTCCACGCGCTCTGCGGCGCGGTTGCGATTCGCTGGCTGTGCGTCGGAGAGCGAGAGCGCGAGGAGGGGGAGGGTGGCGAGGACGAGGGAATTCAGTACAAATAGACACCTCACTAGTAGATTGCCTTTTGATTCCTTGACACGTTTTTGCCTCGCTCTCATCTCAGCCCCCGCTGCGGCCACCGGAGCCGTCGTCCGGCGCCTCCGAGTCCGTGAGCGTGACCCGCACCGTGTCCGACTCACCCCACCGGCGCTGCTGCCCCACGTATGCGCGGTGGGTGTCTCTGTCCATCTCGACGGTGACGATGAGCGCCTCGCCGCTCCCCGTGGTCGCCGTCTCGAGCACGCTAATCCGCGGGTGGCGGTGCAAGTACGAGAGCCGCTCTCCAAGCCGTCCTGGCCATCAATGGAGGCAAGCAGGTGGTGGGCTGGAAGCCGCCGGTCGTTGATGCCGCGGTACGCGCGCCGCTCGCCGAGCAAAGTCACGGGCCATCTCGGGTAGTCTAGGGCCATCTCGGGCAGTCTAGGGCCATCTCGGGTGATCTCGGGTAGTGTCATCTCGGGTAGTCTCGGGTCATCTCGGTAGTCGGGTAGTCTCGGGCAATCTCGGGCAGCATAGTTACCGTCGCAAGGCAGCTCGAGCGTGTGCGACGAGCGGCCGCGAGCCTATCGATCACTAGCAGTGAACAGCTGAGGAGTCAGAAGCAACAGCGCAACTGCGACGAGCCGCTGCGCGCCTATTAATCAGTAACTAGCTAATGAACTGATTGGCCTTAATGAACCGCAGGTGCGACGAGCCGCCGCGCGCCTCGCGCAGATGCTCCGCGATCATTCCGCGCAGCGCCTCCAGGTTCGTTCCGGCTAGGGCGGAGACGCGCACGCTCGGCCGCCCCTCCGCCTAATTAGCTAACTAACTCATTACTATTTAATCAATTCGCCAGCGCACGCTCGGCCGTCCCTCCGCCGTGCTCGAGGCCGTGAGCAAGCCCGCGCCTTCCGCCTAGACGCTCGGAGACGGTTCAGGGAAGGTTCAGGGAAAGTTCAGGGAAACCTGCGAGACGGAGATGGTCCTTTGCCGCCGCCGCCTCCCCCGGGCCGCCGCCGCCGCCGCCGCCGCCGCCGCCGCCGCCGCCGCCGCCGCCGCCTCCGCCGCCGCCGCCTCCGCCGCTGCCGCCTCCGCCGCCGAGCAGGTCGCTCTTTGCGTGCACCTCGATGGTGCGAGCAAGTAGCTCCTCGGGCAAGCACAGCTCGTTCCTACTCACAGCAGATCGCGTGAAGAGACGCTGTTCACAGCAAGATCCTCGGGCAAGCACAGCTCGTGCCGCAGCGTGGAGACCACTGTGTCGCGCTGGCGAACCGCTCGCGCACCTGCGGCTCATTTCTAATCAGTAACTGATTGGCCGCTGTGTCGCGCTGGCGAACCGCTCGCGGCACTCGCGCAGTCGACGACCAGAAGCAGCACGTCGCTCTCCCTCGCCGCCTGCTCGTGCCAGCAGCTGTGAAGAGACGCCGTTCACAGCAGCAGCAGCACGTCGCTCTCCCTCTCTCTCCTCTCCTCTCCCTCTCCCTCCCTCCCTCCCTCCCTCCCTCCCTCCCTCCCTCCCTCCCTCCCTCCCTCCCTCCCTCCCCCCCTCCTCCCTCTCTCTCGCCGCCTCTAGCGTCGCGGCGAAGCTCTGGACAAGGCCGTGCGGCAAGCTCTCGACGAAACCGACAGTGTCGACGTACACCACCTGATTACTCATCGATGAAGTGAGTACCAGTCCATCCATTCATAATGCCGTGTGTACGTACACCTCGCTGCCGTCGCTGAGCCGCCCGGCGCGGCGCTGCGTCTCGAGGCTCGCAAACGGGGCGTCCTAATCTCGAGCAATCTCGGGGTGATCTCGGCGCAATCTCGGCGCTGCGTCTCGAGGCTCGCAAAAGAGGCGTCCCTCGCCCGCCCCGCGTCGCCCGCCTGAGGGAGGCGGGCGTGCGCTCGTAATTAATTAATTGATATTGATGTTTAGTCAATTAAATTAGCGTCGCCCGCCTGCGCGAGTCGGGCGTGCAGCGCGCTCTTGCCCGCGTTGGTATACCCGACGAGGCAGACGACGGGCACGCGGCACGCGGCGCCGTCATCGCGGCCTCGCCGCGCCCTCCGCCGGCTCGCCCTCGCCCGCGCCTCGGCGGCTAGCTGCCGCGAGAGGGCGCCTGGAGCGAGCCCAGACGGCTCCTAGACGGCTCCTAGGCGGCTCCTAGAGGGTGCATCGGGGGGGCGCCGATTCGCGCGTCGATTACGCGGCGGGACCGCTCGAGCTGCGTCTCGCCTGCGCATTAGCTGTTAATTCCTCAATCATTAATTAGTTAACCGCTCGCGCTGCGTCTCGCCTGGGCCACTCAGCTTGCCCGTCGCGCCTCGCTGCTGCGAGTGGGACGCGTCCGGGTCGACCAGCCGCGCTCGCTCGTACCTTCGAGGTGTGGGGAGATGTGGGGAGATGTGGGGAGGTGTGGGGAGGTGTGGGGAGGTGTGGGGAGGTGTGGGGAGGTGTGGGGAGGTGTGGGGCGATGCGGGGAGATGCGGGGAGATGCGGGGAGATGCGGGGAGGGAGATGGGGAGATGTGGGGAGATGTGGCGCTCGCTCGTACCGTAGTCGCGCGAGCTCGAGCTGGCGGCCGGCGGTTTGTGTGGTGGCACGCGCCTGGAAGATGCGCAGCATCAAATTAATGAAGTAATTGCTAATAAATTAGTAATTAATTGGCGCCTGGAAGATGCGTAGGATGACAGAAAAGCGATCGACCACCGGGACGCCCCACCCCTCCGCCAGCCGCCTCTCCATCGCTGTCGAGCGGTTGTCGAGGCTCAGTCGGGAATAGTTGAGAGTAAGATGCAAAAAACGAATCGTGATAATAATGACAAACTCGCCTGTCGAGAGGCACTCGAGGTTCAGAAAGGCGACGCAGCTCGGTGGCTCAAGCCCGCCGCCTGGATCCGCCGCGAGGTTACGCGAGATGAGCCGAGATGACCCGAGGTTACGCGAGATGAGCCGAGATCGATAGCGGTGGCTCGAGCGCGTCACCTCGCAGGGCGGCCTCCCGCTCCTCCTCCTCCTCTTCCTCTTCCTCCGCCTCATCCGCCTCATCCGCCTCCTCCGCCTCCTCCGCCTCCTCCTCCGCCTCCTCCTCCTCAGCAGCGGCAGCGGCAGCACCGTCATCCTCACCGCCACTGGGCACGTCCACCTCCTGGCTCCGCAGATCAGCCGGCGCAGCCTCGGCAGCCGCACGGAGCGGAACACCCCGCCCATCGGCGGCGGCGCGTGCGGCGGCGATCGCCTGCGCTATCCGCGCCACCTGACCCTTGCGAAGGTGAGCACGGCCGCCTTGGAAGGCCACCGTCTCCTCTCCGCACACCTCCCAGCCCGGGATTGCTCGAGCGAGCTCTCTCGCCTCTTGCAGCCGCGCGGCGGCCGCGGCATGTCCGACCCGCTCGGCCGGACCGCGCTTCCAACGAGGCTGGACAATGAAGACCTGCGTCGTCGCGAGCCCACGAGAGGTTGTCCGACAGAGCTGGTGCGCCGACGGACCTTGGGCTGCGACAGTGAGCCTTACAGCTTTGACGCACGCGCCGTCCCGCACGTTGCAACCCATCATGGCCACGCATTTCATGTGCGAGCTCTCCGCTGTGTCAACCAACGGCCCAAGTGAATAATCTGGTAAATAATAAATAAAAACGCGCACCGCTCTACTGTGAGATGGGTAAAAAGGAACAGGCCCCCGCCCTTGCGATCTCAGGTTGTTTTGGGTTACTGTAACTGAGGTGTGCAGTCGGCATCTCGATGAGCATGCCCCACGCCGAGCGAAAGGGTCTTGACGAGTCGTTTGAGCAGGAATTTGTGTCTTGTCGGTCGCGTGCTTCGCACGCGGGTTGACCATTGCGGCATCGCCGAGTTCTTCGTGCGGCTTGCCGTTTGGCGCCTTCTTGCCCGCCTCCATGGCCGCCGTGGCGGCCGGCGCCAAGTGTTTGTCGTAGTCGGAGGGAGCCCTCTCCGGGTCCATGTGCCCCGACGTCTCCTCCGCCGAGAGGCTGCACGTCACGGGGCAGGTCATCTTCACTCCTTCGACGCACGTCTCGTCGCACGCTGCGGTGGCCGAGTCGCAGAGGCCAAAGCCTTTCGCTTGCTCGCACGTCGGGACGAAGCCGGCGTCACACGGCGCCAGAGACGGGGCGAAGGTGAGCTTGCGCGTTTTCGGAGTGGGCGTCGCCTCGCGCAAGTCGGAGGGCGCGGGCGCCGTCAAGGCGGCGACGGCGAGAGGAAACATATGGAGTCCTCGGCCTCGGCATGGGGGTATATTCCCCCGCCGAAATTGGAAGAAAGATTCCTTCGACTGAATACTGGTTCTCGAGCTTCTCGAGGTGGATATCCTTTGGCCGCGTTGGGTAGCGAGGAATACTGGAATGTTTACTTGAGAAAAAAGTTCCGGGATACTCGAGTTGCGTTAACTTCTACACACACGAGGTGGTGGGGCAAGGGGGGCAGACGGTGGCGCCGATGGCGGTGCCTCGGGGTCTCATTGTGGCGGTGCGCTCGACGGCAAGCTGTATGCTGTGGGCGGGTACAATGGCGGCCACCAAACCCTCAGCTCGGTGGAACGATACGACCCGGCGGTGGATGCATGGGAGGAGGTGGCGCCGATGGCGTATGAGCGGGATACTCACTCTGTGGCAGTGCTCGACGGCAAGCTGTACGCTGTGGGCGGTGAGGACATCAACTCCAACCCGCTCAGCTCGGTGGAGAGGTACTACCCGGCGACGAACGTGTGGGAGTCGGTGGCGCCGATGGCGACGGCTCGCAGCCGGCCCGGCGTTGCGTTGCTGTAGCCCGCCTCTCCGATGGCCCCACCCTCGCAGGCCCTCTCACTGAGAGGCGCGGCTACTCGCCCAGCCCGCCAGGCTGACCTGTGCCCGACCCCCTCGGCCTCGCCGCCTCGGCAGTGCCCGCGGAGACCGCACGTTTGCGGATTCTTTCAACACGATAAAAGTACGTTGTGAGCTTGTTTGTGTCTGTGTGTCGCTCGTGCGTGTCGTCATCATCTGTCTTGCGTCCACCCATACCGCGTTGGTGTCCAGTCCGAGCCTGGCTGTTCTTCACCTTCCTACCTACCTACCTAGTACGTTTTACGTACATCCCGCTAAAAAACTCGGATCCACGTAGACGAGGAGCGCGCGCCAATGGCCGCCTCCGTGACACTCCCACCTCCTGGGCCGGTGCGGGGGAGTTTTAACGAGTTTCTCCCGGCCGGCCGCCTCCTGACACGCCCACTGACCGAGCCCATCGAAAAAATCCGGCGCGCCGCTCTGCTCTGACCCCTTGCTCTGACCCCTGCTCGCCCCTGCTCGCCCCTGCTCGCCACTGTCGCCTCGGTTGCCGAGGCTGCCGCGCACCTGTGCGCGACTACGAACTGCACCAGCTGGGCTCGAACCAACGACCAAAACGTCCCCGACCCGATCGCTGCACCAACTAGGCCACACCGCAGGCATTTGCAATGCGCATGAAACTGGCCGCTCATAAACCACTACTCCTTTCCCCAGGCCACCCCCCGCCCCCCCACATTCAGCCTACCCTCCTATCGCGCCACTCGACGCCCCGCGGCCGCCTCTCGCCTACCGCGCGCTGCCCTCGCCGGCCGCCGCACCGCCCGCGCTCCAGCCTAACCAGCTTTCTGCTCCAGCCTAACCAGCTCTGTGCTCCACTGCTCCAGCCCAACCAGCCCTGCGCCCCAGCCTAACCAGCAGCCTAACCAGCTCTGTGCTCCAGCCCAACCAGCCCTGTGCCCCAGCCTATGTAACCAGCAGCCTAACCAGCTCTGTGTAACCAGTAACCAGATCTGTGCCCCAGCTAACCAGCTCTGCATCTCGCAACACACTCATGACAGGGACAGACCAGGCGCAGGAAAAGGGAGCGGGGCCCGAATCCAAGGGACCACCCCGTCGGGCGGAAGAGCTTCTGAGAACTCAGGTCCAGTAGGAAGGCTGCTGGCTCCTGACTCATCCCCCAAATCCCCCACCCCTGTGGCCTCAAACCTTACCATTCCACCACCTCACACACACCCCTCCCCTAGGGCTAAGCAGTGCGCGAGCCCACCCGACTTCAGGCGAGACGTCGACCACTCCTCGGGAATAGCAGTTCTGTCAGTGGCTGCACACTAGACGCCCACAGAGGCGCGCGGCGCGGGCGGATGACTAGGGGAGAACAAGCGGAGATCCCAGATCCTAGCTCGCTGGGAGACGTGCGCAACCTAAAGAAGGGAAAATAGGGGAGAAGTGTCAGTGTGAGGGGAGGGCGTACGCCGGCGTTTTTGCCTTTGAAAACTGAACAGTTTTTTACGTAACATCCCGCTCTGCCCTTGCCTATGCCCCTTTTCCCCCGGCGCGGTGCCCACAACGTCAACCCTTCACCGACAGAAGACACAGCGTGTGCGTGCGTACGGTACTCACATCTCGAACTCATGCTATCTCCCACTCCCCGCGGGTCGCATCGTCACGAGTCCATCCGAGGGAAGAGGTCGCGGCACCACGCGTGCACCGCGTAGCCCGCGTCTGCGATCAGGTCCCACCACTGCTGGAAGACCAGCGTCCGGCAGAGCTCGCGCGCCACCGGCGAGCTGCGCAGGTAGAGCTGCGTCGCCGCCTCCATCTGCTGCAACTTGTCCTAAGTACGATCCACTGACCGGTGAGTGGGTCTGGACGGGTCGCCGCCTCCGCCTGCTGCGGGCGTGTCCTCGTCGCTCTCGATCATCGAGACGCCGCTCGACGGCGGCTCGATCCGGAAGTACGAGGCGCCTGCGCATTGAGGATGAGAAGACGAGGGCTCCAAACAGAAGGGGAGCGATGTCAACCGCGTACCTGCGCCGCCTCTCCGGCTCGCAAGATCTCAATCGCTCGGGCGTCTCTCGGCGGCATCTCGGCTCCTCCCCGCCTGGCGCCAGCTCCGCCACCGCCTCGGGGACGGCTGTTGTGGAGGCGGGGCGCGAGGAGCCCGTCCCGAGCGAGACAACGACGCCTAATTGATTACTAATTCGTTAGTTAATTAATTAGGCGCGAGGAGCCCGTCCCGAGCGAGACAACGACGCCGATGCGGCGGTGCGGCCACAGCGCGCGCGCCTCCCGCAGCGCGATCAGCGTGGGGTTGTTTGCCACCAGGCCGCCGTCGGCAAACGAGCGGCCGCCGAGGCGAGTGCGCGGGAAGATGGACGGGGCAGCCGAAGTCGCCTCCACCGCCTGCCACATCTCTGCCTCGCTCGTCCCCGCCAGCGGCGCCTCCGCGCCCTCCTCCCCCCCCTCCCCAGCCCTGCGCCTCTGCCGCTCCCTCCGCCGCTTCACCCGCTGCCCGAGGTTCGCCGGAGTGGCGCGGTAAGTGCGGAACAGAAACGGCTCCAGCCCGCCGCCGCGGCGGCGGCACGACGCCACGGCAAAGGCGCGCGGCCCCGCCGCGTTCCACGACGAGGAGAGCCAGCGGCGCTGCCTGTGGCGGGCTGATTAGTTGATTAGTGGACCAGTTCGTTAATCAGGTGAGTACCTCGGCGCTGTTCTGATTACTTCACCAGTTGATGGTGAGTTGAGGAAGTGCTAGCTGCTAACTAGCAGACATCAGCTGCATGCAGAGGGGCGGGCGACTCGATTCGTGAGTCACTTGCTCCCTGTCATGACTACTCGCTCCCTATGATATGATGAGTATACCGCCCATACTCGTGAGTCACTTGCTCCCTGTGACGACTACTCGGCTGCCTCCGTAGGGGCTGGCGCGTGCCGCAGAGCTCGAGCATGAACTCGCGCCTTTGTTACTCAGTGAAAGAGTGACTCATTACAGCGCCAGTGATGAACTCAAGGGCTCGAGCAACAACTCGCGCCGCCGGTCGAGGCAGAGGTGCCCGTCGCGCCACAGGTGGCCGTAGGAGCGGGCGTCGGGGGCGAAGCAGCGCTCCTGCAGCATCCGCAGCATCACTCACGACTAGTGACGATCAGTAGTCATTCCCTAGTGATCAAGCAGCGCTCCTGCAGCATCCGCAGCGCGCGGCGCGCCATGTGCGTCGCCTCGCCCGGCGCGGGGTACTTGTTCAGGAAGAGGGCGCCTAATTCATTCATTACCTCATCAGTGACTAATTAATTAGGCGCGGGGGACGTGTTCAGGACGGGGAGGGCGCCGCAGCCGCCGATGGAGGTGCCTAGTTCACCCATTGATTCACTAACAAATTGAGACTACGAGGGCGCCGCAGCCGCCGGCTGGTGGTGCCCGCGACTAGCTCGAACAGCGACGAGAGCGGCTTGCCAGTCTGCAGCTCCATCTCCTAAGGTGCGCAGGAGCGGCGCGCTGAGGAGAGGAGTCGACAGCCGGCGGCCATCTCTTTTGGCAGCTCCGTCGCCTCGGCGATCACCAGCAAGTTGCGGCCCCGCATCCCTCCGCCATCCATGCAGAGGACGTTCACAGGCCGGCTCGACCGCCGCCGCTTCGCAGCCCTCGGCAGCGGCGGAGGCGGAGGCCTGGAGCGGCCGCGGGCGGCGGCGAAGCGGTCGGCGGCCCACCTGCCGAGCCACAACAACTAACGATTCGTTCCCGGCAAGAGCTAACTGTATGCGTCCTTCACCTGCCGAGCCATATCAATTAACTAACGGCTAATTAGTTGACTGTATGTCGCCCACCTGCCGAGCCGCGCCGAGCCGCGCCGCAGCCAGCCGAGGCCGGGAGCGGGGAGCAGGTACGAGAGTAGCCAGCGCACCGCCGCGACAGGGCCCTGATCGCGGTCGACGTCCGCCGGGACGGACTGCGGCGGCGAGGGTGGCGAGGCGGAGGCGGTGTCGGCGGCGGCGAGAGTGGGAGAGTGTGGCGCGGCGCGGGCGTGAGTGTGCGTGGCGGATGAGCGTGGGTTGGTGCGGCGGCGTGGACGCGCATCTCCAGCGGCGCGTGGCTTGGTCAGAGAGGCGACTCGGAAGCGGCGCCTGGACGCGCAGCACGAGGAGGAGCGTGAGGAGCGCGAGCGGAGAGAGCTTGGTGGTGGTGAGCAGGACGAGGCCGGTCCCGCGCGCGAGTGTGCCACCGGCGCCGATGAGTGGGGCCAGCGGCAGCGCAAGCGCAGTCGTCATTCTGCGCGACCAGCTTGTGTGTGGCTGGCGCTTTGAGCTGGCCTCCGACGAGTCTCTCGGCCCGAGTCGGACAAAAAGAATTTTCTGGTGCCACTCCTGCAGCGCACGGGCCACGCCACGCAAAGCCGGCCCGCAGTCTGCCCGGGAGGCTGTCTGAGGAAGGCCTGGCAAGCGCGCGCCCGCCTCCTCCGCGGCCATGCCCTCCGCCCGTGCGAGCGAGCAACAAAGATTGAAGGCGGATCGCCATACAGTGCGAGCTGGTGTTTTTTTAAATTGATTAATTTTTTAATGGAGCCGGAGCCGCGCGACAGCGAGTCCGGCGCGGGCGCGTCCTCGTCTGACGGTCTCCCGCGCGCGGCGGTCGCCAAGCTGGTCAAGGAGCGGCTGCCGCCGCACCTGCGCACCAAGCCTGACGTCGCGGCGCTGCTGAGCGAGATGGCGGGCGCGCGCCGACCGACACTCCTCCCTCTCCCGCGGCCTTCTCTCTCCCCCGCGCGGCACCTCGGCCACGCGGCTTCTGCTACCCCACTGGGCCGCACGGACGCCGCGTCCCCGTGGCACGTCGACACCACGTCCACGGAGTTCCGCCGGCGCACAGGCGCGAACCGCTTCTCCCGCAGGCGAATTCCTGCAGATGCTGACGAGCGAGGCGAACGAGGCGGCGAGCGCGGAGAAGAAGAAGACCCTGAGCGAGGCGCACCTACTCGGCGCGCTGCGCAAGCTCGGCTACCCGCAGCTCGCCGCCGAGTGCGAGGCTGTGGGCGAGGCGGAGCATGGCGCGCAGGCAGCTCGTCCCCTCACTGCTCTCTGGCGTCCCCTCACTCCGCGGCACGCACCTGCTCTGAGCGCCGCGCGGCTCCCGCCCGGCTCGGCGCATGGACATGCGGCGGACAGCCCTGATTCACGCACATGGAGGTGTGCGCGCCTGACCTGACCGGGAAAAGGCTAGGCGGCGGCCAAGGCGCGAAAGAGGAAGCTCAAGGGGGCGGCGAGCACGCTGTCGACCGAGGAGCTGCTGGCGGAGCAGCAGCGCCTCTTTGCCGGCGCGAGGGAGCGGCTGCAGGCGGGGGGCGGCGAGCCGCCGGGGGCGGCGGCGCCAAAAGGGGCGCCGGACGGGGGGCGGAGCTCAGGCGGTCCCCCGGCGTGAGAGAGACGGCTTGGTCACGACTCTTGAGTTGCGTGTGCTTGCTGTGAGTTGTTTCTTGTGGCATCGTTTCTTTGCCCTACGAGGTGCCGACCGCCATTTTCTTCTTTTTTTCATTTCAAAGAGGTAAAATAGAGTAATTCTTCTTGTGTAAAGAATTTAAACAGGAAGAAGAAAATAAACTGGCGCGCGTATTACTTCTTCCATGTTGAATTCTTCTTGTTGAAAATCGCGTGTAGTCGCGCAGTCGCGCCGCACACACCGGCTGCCTGGCCGAGCTGCGATCACTGCCCGCTGAATGTCGTTCGGCGCCGGCACAAGCCACAACCCCAACAACGACGTCGAGGTCCAGAACGCCGCCACCGACGGCATATCCTGCCTCGACTGGGCGCCGAACGCCAACTTTCTCGTCGCCGGCTCGTGGGACAACCAGGCAACACTCGCCACGGACACGAGCCCGCCCCGCCCTCCCCGCCCGCTGTGCCCATCCTTGGCGTCCGCCTACTGAGCGCATACGAGGGCTAGTCTCTCCTGTGCGGTAGCGCTTGCGCTTGAACCGCTCGCCTCCCGCCGCAAGCGCTGCCTCGCAGCTGCGCCGCCGCGGCCGGACCGCCTGCGCCTTGCCTGCCGCAAGCTGCGGTCTGCGACCTCGCGCCTGAACTCCGCCCTCGCCGCGCGCCGCCGCCGCCATGCCGCCACGCCCTCGCCGCCGCCGCCCTCCCGCCGCCGCCACGCCGCCGCCATGCCGCCATGCCGCCATGTCTCTCCACCCCTCCCCTCGCCCCCCGCCCGCAGGTTCGGTGTTGGGAGGTGCAGGCGAACGGCACGGCGGTGCCAAAGGCGGCGACCAGCCACGACGGCCCCGTCCTCTCCGCCTCGTGGTCCGCAGGCACCGCTCTAGTAGTCGTTCCTTCAGAGTCGCAATAAATTAATGATCGATACATTGATCACCGCCTCGTGGTGCGCAGGCACCGCTCTCACACTCACTCAGTTCATGATACTAACGACCGACGCGCTTGCACTCGCCCCCTGCAGACGGCGCGCGCGTGTACACGGGCTCTGCGGACAAGACTGCCAAGGTCTGGGACCTGGCAACCAACCAGGCACGCTGCACCGCACCTCCCACACACCTCAGACACACACACACACACACACACACACACACACACACACACACACACACACACACACACACACACACGCACGCACCTCACACACACACACACACACACACACACACACACACACACACACACACACACACACACACACACACACACACACACCACACACACACACACCTCACACGCACCTCACACACACACCACACACACACGCACCTCACACGCACCTCACACACACCTCACACACACACACACACACACACACACCCCACACACACCCACACACACACACACACACACACACACACACACCACACACACCTCACACACACACACACACACACGCACGCACGCACGCACGCACCTCACACGCACCTCACACGCACGCACGCACGCACGCACGCACGCACGCACACACACACACACACACACACACACACACACACACACACACACACACCTCACACACACCTCACACACACCTCACACACACCTCACCTCGGCTGCGTCCTTCCCTCGAGACTGCTGTCGTGGCTGATCACTAACTGGGGCTATCTCCCAAGCCAGGCGGTGCAGTTAATCAGTTAATCAGTTAATTAATCAATTAATCTCCCAAGCCAGGCGGTGCAGTGTGCCGCGCATGACGCGCCCGTCAAGGACGTCTTTTGGCGAGATGGAGCCGAGAGATGGCAGAGAGATAGCCGAGAGATCAGGGAAGGACCGAAGGATACAGGAGCCGAGAGGCAGCCGAGAGGAGGCGAGAGGAGCCGAGAGGCAGCCGAGAGGCAGCCGAGAGGCAGCCGAGAGGCAGCCGAGAGGCAGCCGAGAGGCAGCCGAGATGCTGGTTATTTCGTGGACACTTCCGCGACACTTCCGTCTTCACAGCTGCGCCTCCTCAACAGGTGCGCCGAGAAGAACTTTTTGGTCACCGCCTCGTGGGACAACACAATCAAGTTCTGGGACGGAAAGTCGGCAGCACCGGGCGCGACGCTGGCGCTGTCGGGCGAGAGATAGCCGAGAGGCGGCCGAGAGGTAGCGGAGAAGCAGCCGAGAGATGGCGGAGAGGCAGCCGAGGGGCAGCCGAGAGGCAGCCGAGAGGCAGCCGAGAGGAGCCGAGAGGCAGCCGAGAGGCAGCCGAGAGGCAGCCGAGAGGCAGCCGAGAGGAGCCGAGAGGCAGCCGAGAGGCAGCCGAGAGGCAGCCGAGAGGCAGCCGAGAGGCAGCCGAGAGGCAGCCGAGAGGCAGCCGAGAGGAGCCGAGAGATAGCGGAGATGTAGCAATGGCAGCCGAGAGGTACGCGCTCGTGCGACAGCCCACTCCTCTTTTCGCCCCTCCGCCCAGCTCCTCCGCCCAGCTCCTCCGCCCACCTCTCAGGCACGCCCTATGCGGTTGACGTGCGAGGCAAGCTGATGGTCGTTGCGACTGCCGACCGGAAGATCGTCGTAGTCAACTTGGACCAGCCCTCCGTCGCCTTCAACACAATCACCTCTCCGCTAAAGTACCACAGTCCCGCTGCACCACCGCCCTCGGCCCGTTCATCGAGCGAACCCTTGCGAATGATTCAAAGGTACCAGTCACGCTGCATCGCCGCCTTCCCGGACCAGCGCGGCTTCTGCCTCGGCTCGATCGCCGCGTCGGCTGCATCTCGGTGGTATCTCGGCGGTATCTCGGCCATATCTCCGCTTCATCTCGGCATAGGCTCCATCGAGGGGCGCGTCGCCGTCCACCACGTCAACAAGGTCCGTGACCCAGATGCCGCCCAGATGCCGCCCAGATGCCGCCCAGAAGGAGCCGAAAGAGAGGCGTCACTCATGAGTCTTCCTCGCCAATCTCCCGCCAATCTCCCGCCAATCTCCCGCCAATCTCTCTCCCGCCAATCTCCCGCCAATCTCCCGCCAATCTCCCGCCAATCTCCCGCCAATCTCCCGCCAATCTCTCTCCCGCCAATCTCCCGCCAATCTCCCGCCAATCTCCCGCCAGGCGGACGAGCAGAAGAATTTCGCCTTCAAGTGCCACCGCGAGAACAACCTCGACATCTACTCGGTCAACTGCATCGCCTTCCACCCTACCTTCGGCACCTTCGCCACCACCGGCTCTGACGGCACCTCCCAGCCTTCGGGACACGGGCTCGCGGCTGTCACAAGTCCTGACGCGCCCCTCCTCCTCCACCCATAAGGCACGTTCAACTTTTGGGACAAGGACTCGCGGCAGCGGCTCAAGGCCCTCCACCAAGGGCTCGCTCTGCCCTTCCCCGTCGGAAAGTGTCTCGAAAGTGTCTCGGAAGTGTCTAGGCCTCCACCAAGGGCTCGCTCTGCCCTTCCCCGTCGGAAAGTGTCTCGAAAGTGTCTCGGAAGTGTCTAGGCCTTCACCAAGGGCTCGCTGCCCATCCCCGTCGGCCGCTTCTCGCGCGACGGCGCCATCTTTGCGTACGCCGCCTCATACGACTGGTCAAAGGTGCCTCCTCCCCTCTACTCACTGCTGATTCCTGATTGCTCCCTGCTGACGCCTCGTACGACTGGTCAAAGGGCTCGGAGCACTACAACCCGCGCACCAACCACCTGCTGCTGCACTCGGCGCCGAGATCTAGCCGAGATTGGCCGGGATCTAGCCGAGATCTAGCCGAGTAGCGTAGGCGATCTGCTCCGCCACCCGGCTCTGGCCGGGTCAGACTCGCAGCTGTGGAGATCGCTTGTGCACGCGTCTATCCTGTGAGTAGGTGCCCGAGTCGGAGATCAAGAGCAGGACCAACCAGAAGAAGGCGTTCGGCCGCTAGCCGCGGGCGGCGCACTTTCCGCCCGCGTGGGGGGGGCGAGAAGCGAGCGGCGGCTGCCGGGCGACAAGGATCAAGCATCAAAGTGAAGGAACAATCCACCCGTCTGCGGACCACTGTCCCGTGCGCAGTTCAAGGCCAAGTACTCTTCTGGCGTCTAGTGTGGTCTGACTGCTGTCTCGCATTGCTACAAGTAAAAGATACAGATACATGGCTGAGGAAGCAGCTGTCGCGGCACAGCACGTGGAGATCGTGGTGCGGCGGCGCCGAGCATGCAGCATCGCACGCACGCCCCGGACCCTCCTCTGCTCCTCGAGCTTTTTCGGGCTTCAAGAGCAGACAAGCACAAAAGGCACAGCTCTCCTCCGCAACTAGGTCGCCGCCCAACTCGCCAAGCAGACGAGTGATCATGGGCCTCGACGGCCTCGACTGGCCTCGACTGGCGGGGCGTCTCACTCATTTAGCAGGCGCAGGCATCGCAGTTGGCATCGCCGCCAGCAGGTCAGATGCACGCCTTGCACACTCAACCCCCTACTCAAGCCTTCTGCGATGGCATGGCCCATTGAGCCTCAAGGACACTGTATTAAGCTATTAACACTGTATGGTATGCCTCGAAGTCATCTCCCTCAGCCGCTGCTGCTTGCTGCTGCCTTTGTCCCATTTGCCTGATTGCGGCGTGCACAGACATTCTGCAGCTGTTCCCGTGTTCTGCAGCCGTGGTGGACGACAGTGCCCTCGTCGTACTCGCAGCCACGTGAACCTTTGACCCAGTAGTGTTGCACGTCGCGCATTGAACCTAGCCAGAAGCCAATGTTGGCGTCCTCCAACCCGAGATTGACGTAATCTTCGAATTCGTGGCGCAGGATGAAGTTGACCACCGCCCGGCCGAGCAAGTACGCGTTGCCGATGGCAAATAGACCTCTCAACGGGAGGGTTGCGTTGCGCCAGCGCGCAAGCGCATGCTGAGTGAGCGCGTGTTTCAGCTCATGCCGGTACGGCGTCATCACATGGTCTAGTAGGCCCGTCCTTCCGACGTAGGCGCGGTGGATGTTTGTGAAGACGTCCTCTGGCAGTCGGTGTGTGCACATCATGCCGTTCGAGTCCATCTTCAGCAGTGCGTCGCAATTTGCCGGGGCGGCACGCAGCATCGTCCAAGTCTTCTCAGGCAGGCGAGCGAACGTGTCTGCTCCGCTCTCGGTCCAGTTGTGGTTATAGATCGAGTATGTCGCACTCGTCTGCCGCGCACTCGCCGCGAACGAGGAGACCTGCTCCACACTGGGCGGTGACGCCGGCAACGTAGGGATATATACGCAGATGTGTGGCACCGCGTGACGTAGCGTGAACTTCCCAGCGATGCGCGCAATCGGCTGGTGGCTCTCCGAGCTCATGGTTAGGAACGCGATGAGCAGGAACGCCATGGCGCAAAGAAGCACGGCGTACAAGGAGAAGGGGTTACATGGAAAAGTCAGACCAGACGTGGCACGCTGGCTGTCGACAGACTACACAACAACTGGTTGAAGCGAGAATCGGAGAGAGACTGCGAAGAGAGATAGGAAGAGGCAGACTCCCTAGGGTAGGCGACGGCTAGCGCATCACACTCCTCTCCTTAAAATCCCTGTGTGGTGGCGGCGTGCCGTTCTCCCATCCCTCCCTTGGGTTGTCTGTTTTCTTTCTTTCTTTCTTCTCTCACTTGAGCACTTGAGCACTGGATAGGGTCGATTCCGCATGGTACGGGACCCCTCGATCGTCTCGCCTTCCCTCACTGGTGTGTTCTCTCAACTATCTATGAGTAGGAACGCCATGGCGCAAAGAAGCACGGCGGGCAACGAGAAGGGGTTAAAGCAAAACATCCGAGGAAAAGTCAGACCAGACGGTGACGTGGCACGCTGGCTGTCGACAGACTACGGTGTCGAGAAAAAATCGAGATTTTGCGAGATCGCACGTCCGGTTGGCCGTTATTTTTGTGAGTCGTGGCGCTGCCCGTGTGTTCTAAGGAAGCATATAAGAGGAGGCGTGGAGAGCAAAAAAGCGTGCACACGGGTTATTCTGGCCGACCCCAAATCTCCCCTCCCGACCCCTACGAGCTACGTATGAGCTACATATTATGAGGGGGTCGGGCACCTGCGGCACGCAGCTCGCCGAGAGGTGCAAAAGCACGAGGCTCGTTTCCAAGGAGTTACGAAGTTTTTGACGCGATGCGCTGTAGATCGCTTGCTGCACGCGCAAGGCGACACGACACCAACGGTGAGGCCGAGGGCTCGAGGGCACGTGTGCGACCCCCTTCAATCAATGCCGTGTGCGCCGCGCGTCACTCGACGATGGCGCGGTACAGCCCCTGCAGGAAGGCGGAGAGGGGCACGTCCGGGTTCACCTTCTGCGCCAGGTAGCGCGCCTTGGATGAGCCCTGCTCGCACTCGATCAGCAGCGGCGCCGGGAAGCGAGCCGCCCCGAGCGCCGCCGCCTCGGCCGCCACCGCGTCGGTCAGCTGCTGGACCTCCTCCGCCGGCGGTGAGCCTGGACTGCGGGCGGCGAGGGCGAGGGCGCCGCCCTTGCACACGACGAGCTGCGTGAACGAGTCGAGGAGAAGCAGCCGGTCGGGCGTGACGGAGGTTGGCTCGAGGGGAAGGGGGGCGCTGCCTCCGGACCCGACGCGGAAGCCGCGCAGCGTGGGCTGCACCAGCAGCAGCGACGAGAAGGTGTCGAGGGTGGAGGCGAGGAGGCGGAAGAAGGTGGTTCGGTCGGGAGACGCGCCGGAAGTGCGGAGCACCGGAGAGCGCCGCAAGTGGAAGACGAACCCCGGGACGATGCCTGCGGCGGGCGGCAGCGCCACCGAGCCGGGGTCGCCCTTGGAGTACGCGCAGAGCGTCTTCATCGTCTTGATGAGCAGCCGGTCGATCCACCGCAGCATCTCCGGAGCAGAGGCGCCCGAGTTCGCCTTCGCCACCGCCTGCCGCACCAGCAGCGCCGCCACCGCCTGCTGGTCCAGCGCAGGAAGCAAGCTCTTCGCGTCGTACGACTGCGTGAGCCTCGGCAGCCTCAACGTGGTGACGCGCCGCACGCGCCGCCCTCCCGCGGTGCTGTAGCGCGCCGAGAGCTGCAGGAGCTGGTGCTGCGGCATCACGCTAGCGCCGCCGCCCTTCTTGGCGGGGGTGAGGGTGAGGCCGACGCACGTGTGCGGAGAAAGGCTGCCGCCTAATTAGTTGTTAATTAACTAATAATTAATTGTAATTAGACGCACGTGTGCGGAGCAAGGCTGCCGCCCTCCCACGCGAAGGAGCGAGCGCCGCCGCACTCGCGAACGGACAGCCCCTCCGGCTCGCCGGCAGCGCCGCCGCCGCCGCCGATGTGCTCGATCGCCTCGCAGTCGCGGCCGGCGGTGAGCTCGAACTGCGCTCCAAACCCCATCCCGACGGAGCCGTCGGGCGCCCGCGCGTACAGCCGCCGCAGCGAGTCGAGAAGGTGCGAGTCTTGGAAGGACTCGCCCTGCAGCGCCGCGCCCCCCGTCCTCCCAAGCAGCGACTTCATCTCGTACAAGCCAACCTCCTCGAGCGACGCAGCGACGACGTCCACACCGTGGCCTCGCGCGGCGGCGGCGCGCCCGAGAGCGTCGTAGTGCTCCGCCGCCGCCGTTGCTCGCGCCGAGCCGGCCTCGAGCTCCTTGTGCGAACGGACGGTGCTGCCGGCGTCCGAGTCCACGATCGCACCCGCGCCGCCGACGGACGGGCCGCCTACGGGACATGTCTCGGACGTGTCTCGGACGTGTCGCGGACATGTCCGAGCCGCCGACGGACGGGCCGCCGCAAAAGACGACCGTGCGAGCAGCGCTGTCTGGGTGGGAGCAAGCGAGCAGCGAGGTCGCGGCAGCGAGCGCGGACCCGGTGCAGCGCCCGCCCCTCTTCCCCGCCTCGCCCGCCGCCTCGGCCGCCGCCGCCTCCGCCTCCTCCGCCGCAGCCGCCGCCGCCGCCGCCGCCGCGATCCCGCCTGGCCGCGGCCCAGACGTTGTTAATTAATAGCTCATTAATGTGAACAGCAATCAATAACTAATCCCGCCTGGCCGCGGCCCAGACGGCATCGCACCCGGCCAGCCCTGCGGAGCGGCGCCGCCTCCCACGCCGCCTCCCATGCCGCCTCCCATGCCGCCGTCGGCGTAGTGGCCTACCCCTCCGCCCCCCGGCGCTGCGGCAAGCGGCGGCGGTGGCGGCGCCGCGCGGGCGGCGTACGCGCTCTGGCGCGCCGCGAAGACTGCGGCGAGGTCGATCTCAGACGCGGGCGCGAAGAAGCGAGACGCGGCGCCAGGCAGCAAATCGTCGACCGGCGCCGCGCCGCCGCCCCCCACGCCGCCGCCAGCAGCAGCGTGTTGCTGTCCAACTAACCCTCCGTACCCTTGCGGTGCCCCTCCGTACCCTTGCGGTGCCCCTCCGTACCCTTGCGGTGCCCCTCCGTACCCTTGCGGTGCCCCTCCGTACCCTTGCGGTGCCCCTCCGTACCCTTGCGGAGGCCCGCCATATCCGCCGTAGCCCTGCGCGGGGCCGGCGTGGCCCTGCCCGTATCCCTGCCCGTATCCCTGCGGAGGAGCGCCGTGGCCATACAGGGCAGCGTGCCCCTGCAGTGGGCCGGACCCGGGCGGCAGCTGCTGCGGCGGCGGCGGCTCTGCCTCTTCGGCCGGCTCTGGAGGGAGGCGGAGCAGCGCGCGGAAGGAGTCGAGAGGCAGCTCCGCCTCTGAATGAGGCAGGTGCCAGATGCGGTGCGGCGAGCAGCCAAGCTCGTGCAGCTCGACCGCCTCTGCGAAAGTGATCACGCCGATCGGCGTCTCGGCCGGCAGCTGGTCTAGCCACGCCTGCGCTGTCCGCAGCAGGTGGCCTCGCTCCTCCGCGCGCACGGAGAGGTCGAAGGCGACGAGGAGCGGCGCGGGCGTGTCGTCGCGCGGAGGGCCGATCTCATACTCGACCGTCGCGTGCTCGTGCGAGACCTCGAGCGGCGGCGCCGTCGCCGTGAGCAGATGGCCATCGAAGGGCGACCACGATCCGCAGAGCGGGCACCGCCAGCGGCGCGCGTGCGGGTCCATCTGCGAGAACGGGTTGAGCACCCCGCCGCAGGAGCCGCACGTGACCGGCTCTCGCCTCACGGTCTGCAGCCCGTCGATCGCCCTCATCGGAGAGAAGAGGAGGCCGAGCGGCGCTCCGAGCGCGTCCGCTCCCGCCGCGTGTGGCCAGAGGTGCCACGAGAGGCGGACGCCGCTCGCGGCCTCGAGCGCGGCAAAGTCGACGCCTGGTCCGGGCTGGATCGACCCCGGCGAGGAGCGCGTCTGCGGCGCCGGGGTGGCGGCGGAGGCGGAGGCTGGCGTGCTGCTGGCGCTGCCACCGGCGGAGGCAGAGGGCGCCGTGGTGAGGCCGGGTGCCGCTTTGCGCAGCGCCTCGACCTCGGCCGTGCGTGGCGGTGGCTGCCGCGGCTCGTGAGAGTTGCTCCCGGGCTGCGGCGGACGAGGCGGCTTTGGCGGCACAGGCCGCTGGCCCGGCTGCGGCTTTGGCGGCCTTGCGGTCTGCGGCGGTGGAGGCTGCGCCGGCACTGCGCCGCCGCGAGTGCGGAGCAGCCGAGCCATGAGCGGCGTGCGGCCGCGCGAGAGGGCCCGAGTGAGGGCTGGAGCCGAGGCTGCGAGGAGGAGGAGGCCGAGAAGGCGCCGGCGGAGCAGCATATCTGATAGCAGCCGACCTCCCACGCCACGGTGTTGGTTAAAAAGGTTTCGAATCGGCACACACAACAGGCAGCGAGGTCGCAAAAGAGGCGCGCGAGGCAAGGAGGAGACGCGGGGAACTGAAAGACTGGGACGACTGGAAACAAGAAGACAGTGAGCCACCACAGGCGTCGTTGGCGCACATACTGAGCGGCAGCTGCGCTGGAAATAAGGAAGTAGAGGCGCGTCACTTCATGCGGAAGCTCGACAAACACACAGCGAGGGCGACAGCAAAGTTGAACGGGAGGCGCCGGACTCAAAAGACACCGCCACATTCCTGAGACGAGCGAGGGCAGCCTCCTTAAAGGCGAAGGGGTCTAGATTTGGGGCGCTCGCCGGAGAGGAGTACGACAAAATAGCACCCGTGATTGCCTGCACGCTACCCACACTCACGGACTCCATACCCGAAAGAAAGAGAGGGGAGCTCGCGGGAGAGGTGACGAGTGAACTACAGGTAGTGGGGAAGGCAGCCTCGACTGCCATACAGACATGGGTGCGAAACAACGACAAGACCAAGGCACGGGCAGAGGAACGAGAGAAGAATATAGGGTGGATAAAGCGCCTGTTCACGGCATGGAGGGTGAGCCACACCGAACGTACCGAGCGAAGGGCCGAACGGAAGGAGGACGGGGAAGATGACTCAGAGGAGGACGAACCAGTGGAAATTCAGTTGTCAGATGTCACGATGCATCCGAAGGGGACTCCTGCGCCGGCATCATCCGTAGAGGCACGAGTGTTCGAAGAGAGAGTGGACCTGAGCAACAACATGACCTGGAGGCAAATGATCGGAGTGGGAGTCAGAAATGTGGTCCTTGCGCGAGGGGAGCTCGATAGACTCGAGGGGCCAGGATACGCCGCGAGGAGGACGGAGTTGCGCCGAGAGGCGAAAGAAGCCGCGAGAACAAGGGACCGGCAGGCGGCGGCGTCGCAGGACGAGGCAGAAGAGAACGACGCGACAGAGGAGGAAGTGACAAGGGAGAGAACGACGAGAGTGGGACGGCCGCGAGGTGGCATGAAGGTTGCAGCGAGAAGCGGCGAGAGACTGCGAAAAGAGATACGAAGAGGCAGACTCCCAGGGTGGGCGACGGCTAGCGCATCACACTCTCCTCTCCTTAAAATCCCTGTGTGGTGGCGGCGTGCCGTTCTCCCATCCCTCCCTTGGGTTGTGTGTTTTCTTTCTTTCTTTCTGCAGCGAGGACGACGGCTTTATTAAATGAACTCGGGGGCACAGGACGCGGTACAAACGCAGTACACCAAAAGGCACGGGCTGCCTGCACGGCGTTCACTCGAACGCCATGCACATGGCGCGGAGCAGCATATCGGCTCTGAGACGAGGGTTTGGGCTCTGCGATGGGCAGCGGCGACTAGAGCCTTGCCCAAGTTGGTCCACTTTCTCTAGCTGCGCACCATTTCGCGCGTGGAGTTTTGCCGAACTATGGTGTGCATAGGCTGCTGGTGTGGGGCGACCGGGTCTCACAGTGGGGCATCGCGCGTGGGGCAGAGGCCAGAAGCCCTGCGTGTCGACCAGCGAGTCGGGGTGCATCGGCTGCCGGCGTGTGTGTACGATCGAGGATGACGCTACGAGGGTCGCCCCCCCTGGCTGACAGCCCTGACGCCCTTCACTTCGCCGAAGCCGGGAGTGGCATATGCGCTGCGTCACGCTCACGAACAGCCGTGCGCAAGTGGCGATGAGCGAGGGCTATGAGTGCAACGCGCTGAGGCGGAGCTGACTTTGCTCGATTTTTAGCAAAACGGCCCCAGACCCTTGGGGACACCTCTCGGGTGGGCTCGGGTGCACCCGGTCACGGTCCATCGCAGGGGGCAGGCGAGCGCGGCAGCGCGCGCGGCAGCGCTGCCGGCAGGCACGTGCCTAGGAGTTACGGTGCGCCGGTAGGCGCTGTCTTCGGTTAAGGTGCGCCGGTAGGCGCTGTATAGGGTTAGGGTTAGGGTTAGGGTTAGGGTTAGGGTTAGGGTTAGGGTTAGGGTTAGGGTTAGGGTTAGGGTTAGGGTTAGGGTTAGGGTTAGGGTTAGGGTTAGGGTTAGGGTTAGGGTTAGGGTTAGGGTTAGGGTTAGGGTTAGGGTTAGGGTTAGGGTTAGGGTTAGGGTTAGGGTTAGGGTTAGGGTTAGGGTTAGGGTTAGGGTTAGGGTTAGGGTTAGGGTTAGGGTTAGGGTTAGGGTTAGGGTTAGGGTTAGGGTTAGGGTTAGGGTTAGGGTTAGGGTTAGGGTTAGGGTTAGGGTTAGGGTTAGGGTTAGGGTTAGGGTTAGGGTTAGGGTTAGGGTTACGGGTTAGGGTTAGGGTTAGGGTTAGGGTTAGGGTTAGGGTTAGGGTTAGGGTTAGGGTTAGGGTTAGGGTTAGGGTTAGGGTTAGGGTTAGGGTTAGGGTTAGGGTTAGGGTTAGGGTTAGGGTTAGGGTTAGGGTTAGGGTTAGGGTTAGGGTTAGGGTTAGGGTTAGGGTTAGGGTTAGGGTTAGGGTTAGGGTTAGGGTTAGGGTTAGGGTTAGGGTTAGGGTTAGGGTTAGGGTTAGGGTTAGGGTTAGGGTTAGGGTTAGGGTTAGGGTTAGGGTTAGGGTTAGGGTTAGGGTTAGGGTTAGGGTTAGGGTTAGGGTTAGGGTTAGGGTTAGGGTTAGGGTTAGGGTTAGGGTTAGGGTTAGGGTTAGGGTTAGGGTTAGGGTTAGGGTTAGGGTTAGGGTTAGGGTTAGGGTTAGGGTTAGGGTTAGGGTTAGGGTTAGGGTTAGGGTTAGGGTTAGGGTTAGGGTTAGGGTTAGGGTTAGGGTTAGGGTTAGGGTTAGGGTTAGGGTTAGGGTTAGGGTTAGGGTTAGGGTTAGGGTTAGGGTTAGGGTTAGGGTTAGGGTTAGGGTTAGGGTTAGGGTTAGGGTTAGGGTTAGGGTTAGGGTTAGGGTTAGGGTTAGGGTTAGGGTTAGGGTTAGGGTTAGGGTTAGGGTTAGGGTTAGGGTTAGGGTTAGGGTTAGGGTTAGGGTTAGGGTTAGGGTTAGGGCTGAGGGTTAGGGTTAGGGTTCGGGTTAGGGTTAGGGTTAGGGTTAGGGTTAGGCTCTAGGGTTAGGGTTAGGGTTAGGGTTAGGGTTAGGGTTAGGGTTAGGGTTAGGGTTAGGGTTAGGGTTAGGGTTAGGGTTAGCCCCAGGGTTAGGGTTAGGGTTAGGGTTAGGGTTAGGGTTAGGGTTAGGGTTAG